ATTGATAAATAGTGATCCTATTTCGCAATAAGAACGAATTATTTATCAAAAAGTAATCAAGAACTATCACCTAGAGGGTATCCTGCGACACACTTATGCTCAAGCAGTAAGAGAAAATTCCAATTAGTAAAGAAATTAATTTGAAAAATTACCTTGACGTTTCGATGGCTATTTTCTGCTATCGTTATCAAAAGAACCTAATTGAACCTAAAAAAGAGTATGTTAATAAGTTGTGGAACAATAGTAGGATAATACAGTATATGAAAATTCGCTCTGATAATTCGTCTGTGCAAATTGTCAGTTATGTGACTTAATTTTTTTAATTTTTCAGGCGAAATACCCAACAAGAAGTTCGTAAAAAAATTAATCCGCCTCAACAATATAGAACTTATCTACGAATTAAGAGTTTCTTGAAAAAACGACCAGATCAAGTTTCCAAAAAATATTTGGAAAATTCCCTTCCCTCATCGCTCTGAAGAGTTTTCAAGCTTGTTTTCACGTTTGAGTTGAAACACTTATAAATTTTTGAAATTCGCGTTCCCAAAACCACTTATTTATGCACGAAAATGAGATTGATCGGTGCAATTTGCTGCCAAATTGTGTTTTAGGGATTAACAGTTCATAACTCCACTTGCAAAATTGTCGCTAAGATGCGTAATAATAGTGTTTTTCGGAAAAGTTTGTGCATCTTTCCTAACGTCGCCCATTGATTGAGGTTATATAGCGCGTTGATAGACAGATGGCGGATTATTTGTATACAAAATGCGTGTTGCCATATATTTTCGAGTTGTTTTTGTTTTTACCAATTTTATTCAGTTTTGCACCGAAAGTAATTAAGAGTTTCTTGAAAAAACGACCAGAGCAAGTTTTCAATTCAACTAGAGCAATTTGGAAAATTCACTTCCCTCATCGCGCTGAAGAGTTTTCAAGTTTTTTTCCAAGTTTTAACTCATTAACCACATATTAATCAAATTGTATTGACTTTTACAGACATTCGAACTAAATTTTGGCGTAAACTTCTCTGAAAGAGTTCATGGCAAAAGATTTATGGATTAGAGATCATTCTTACCAGCTTTTTGCAAGCTGGCGCCCCATCCTCCATTTTCTGCCCATTAATCCTTTTAAAGGATTTTCCGCAAAAAATATGAAATAAATTTCGAATCCTTCGTCGCTTTGTAAAAAGTTTTGAAATCTCATTCCAGCCTCGGATTTGGAACAAGAATTTAATAATTTCCTATCAAAAAACAGACTGAATAAGCGAAAGTTTATAATAAATTATTTGGAAAAATTTCATTCCTCTGACGACTGTAGAGCTTTTGAAAAAATGTGTTTTTTTGGTTTTGATTGATTCTTTTTGCTCTAGTTTCCACTCAAAGGCAATATTTTGATGGCTTTTCTTGTTTGATGTTAAAATTCCGTCATCGGCCAAGAGTTATAACGCATTAAACAATGATTTAAAACTCATTAACCCAGAGGGCGCCGATAACTCACAAGCGCAACTCAACACAGTGTGATCTTCAAGGAAACAATTTTCTTCGAACTTCGAATTTTCTGATCTGCTCTGAAGAACTGATCTGCTTGAAAACGTCCAAGATTTGTGTCTGGTTGTTCCAGGTGCATCCGACCTTTATTCCAACTCCTTCATCTCGCCCAGCTCGTCCAGTCACCTGGACGTCCAGTGGCGTCCAGAACGGGCCATCCAGAGTGCGCAAATTGAATCGACAAGTGGGCCGGATGAGGACGCGGAAGACATTGAGGGCACGCCAGTGGCAAACAGTCGAGTGCAAAGATCGGCGGAGCCGATCCTGTCCAAAACCTCCGCAGGCGACGACCTGCTGCTGCACAAGAACATCGAGGACACTCTGGACAGCAATGACGTGGAGCTGTCTGGACGGCTCGGACACGTCATCCAGCCCTCGAGAACGGTAAGTTGTGCAGTCCAAATTGGGACAGTGGGACAGAACTAAACCAGCCAGTTGGCACAGGACCGGAACCTGTACTTTGGCGGGCTGCCCTTCACATCAGAACCGGCCTCGGGGGAAGCCAGTGGGGCCCTGCAGGGCCGGGCTCTGCAGGCGCCCCAGGACATCGCGCCGACTGCTACGACGACGGCTTCTGCTACGCTTTCAACTGAGCCTGGCAAGCCTCGACAGGTACGCTTGCGCTTCTCTCCTCCCGTAAGCTGCAGGATTGTGACGCGATTTAGTTGCAGGCCAATCCCGACATCCAGGACATCATCACGGGCATTGTGAAGCTGCTGAACGGCAACGTGAACGTGCAGGCGAACACGGCGCCTGGAATGGGGCGGCCCTTAAGGCCCCTGTCCACGCGGATCAACAACAGGGGCCCGCCACGGATCACGGACGTGCCAGCTTTGCCTCCTGATTTTGATGTGCCGGCGCCCCCGATGGCTCCGCCCCCTTTGGGTAGGTGCCTTTTCAGACTGTCCCCTACAGGGGCTCAAAGTCAGCGTTTGCAGGTCCGATGGTCACCCGGGCTCCTTATCCCTTCGACCTGCCGCCCTCCAACATGTCGCCCAAACGCCCCTATCTACCAGGCGACAACATACTGAATCGTCCCGGGTAAGAACTAAAGATTATTCGCGAGTAGGGATGACACGAAATCTTGTCACAGGTATTTTGGAACAGATATCGATATGGAACAGTCGGTACCTGTTATCGATATTTAAAATAACACGTGTTATGAAATAATAGGGCTCGCCTACTATGCTGGTCAGTACCAGTACAACATAACTGAGATTTCGATATTTCAACAAAGCAAAAAGGCAAATACCTGCCTTTGTGCCTTTTGATTCCCCGCGGCGTTGTCAGTTGGCCTGAGTTTTAGTGAAAGGAGATATTTTATTCTCGTGAAGTGGTAAGGTTTTGTATGTATGGGAGTGGGACGTGCACCATGATCCGGCAAATAGCAATATTCAATGAACAGAAAATCAGACTAATAATAAATAAAATAGCATTTGTTGCATCTGCCCAGTGGAGTAGTGGACGAACTACATTTAAATTTGTATAGGCGCTATTTACCTACTCTGAACATGTTTCAATATTTGCTTATATCAAACATAGCTGAAGTATTAAACGGCCAATTTTCAATTAAGCGATAAGATGAATTGTCATCAGTGATCAGCATGAAAATAGAATATTTTTCACATTTTACTGCCCCTAAGTGGAATTTGGTCACCTTTTTTGTATCCAAATAAAGTTTCGATAAAATGGTAAAACGTTACTCATAAAAAATGTTAGGACTTTTTTTTGAACATCAGCCCCTGCATACATAAATGAACAAAAGGCATTCGGTCTTCGGTCATAATTTATTGCTGACCCAGCAAAATCGCACCCAAATTACTAGGAAGTGGCGTGGATATCCTTCAATGGAACAATTA